GGAAATGGTGGCGCTGCGTATTGTGGAAGGAGGCCCCATGGTGCTACACCCGGCCACCATAATCCACATGCTGAGTTTAAGTTTCTACGTCGTGCGTGTGGATGGTCAGGGTACTGAGAGGCCAAGTGCGCAGCAGGCAACCTATCTTGTGCACTTCACTCAGTTTACCCGTAGGCCGAGAGCCAGCGACAGCTTGTCTGGGGAATGCACAGGGATTGTGTACAAGAAACACGTCCTCAGCTTTCCCAAAGCTCATTTGCTTCGCGATATGGATTTCATGCCCAGCTTTCTGGTCAAAACCTGCCAGCTAGGGTTGGATGTGGGTGCGATGTGCTACTCCAGCTGTCGGCATACACAAGAAGAGCGTACGGATGAGTTTACTTTTAGTTGCACCACAACACATATGCCGCCTTTCGGAGAGGATTATGGATTCATTGTCGGCTGCCGAGTGTTTGTGCGAGCGAATATCGATACCATCACTCTGGTTTGCGCCGAAGTTCACAAGTACGTCTGCCGGCGTAGTTCATGGCTGTACAGTCATGCAGCTTGCAGTATGTTCTGGAGCGTAGATTCACTAAGGGAAGCCTGCGAAAACTATCTCAGTGTGCAACTAGCCGAACAGCCTAATATCGTCCAGGTGCCTTTACAGGACTTTCTTGACCATGGTGAGTGTTTTGACTCTATGATGTATCAGTATGAGGTTTTGTGAGTCTAACTACATTAAGAGTACAGTAAAACCTGTGACTTTGAACACTCGCGTAAATTGAACACTGGTGTACATTGAACGGTTATTACGGAACCGACGCGTCTCGTAGACTAATAATCAGTGTTGTATTTACTATTGCCCCAAAACCTTACTTACTTTTTCCTTTTCGTCTGGCCATTGATTTTACTATTTACTTTGCTATTTACTTTTCATAATCTTCCTTCTTTACTTTTACTTACTTTTTACTTTTTTTATCGTAACCTTACTTACTTTTACTAACTTAGTAATCAGTAGTAAAATAGTATTTACTATTCGTGTTTTGCGACAAATCGCAGTACGCAACAAAAGTTTTCAGTTTTGCCATATTCGTTTCTGAAGCATATTACGTACCTAAAACAAAAATAACTGCTTGTACTACTCTGGGACAGTGTGTACACCGATTAATTTTAATTTGTGCTCAGAAATTTGTTTCAATGAAGCGATTTGGTTCCGTGTAAAATTACAGTACTTATGTTTTGACAAAAATTAGCAAAAGTCATTACACCGTATCGGGTGTAAAGGTAAGCATTGCAGTGAAGCGGCACTAGCTAGTATGCCTGGCAGTCACGTAACTCGCCCACCTAAGCGGTTCAAAGCGCGTCTGCAGTGCAGCGAAATTTTTGGTGATTCAGAAGAAAACCTGTACTGCCAAATGTAACTGCCATGGAAAAAATCATGTTCAGCAGAATTCTGATGACGCTCGTCACTTTTATCTGTTGCGGACGCTTAGTAAAAAGAATGTTTTACTAATTAAACTATTCCCTTTTCGCGCCTCTTACTTTTACTTACTATTTACTTTTCAAGCCTCGGCTGCTCTTACTTTTACTTTACTTTTACTTTTCCGTTTTGCTGCTTACTTACTTTTTACTTAATTAGTAAGAGGCAAAAATGGCTTACTAAGTACGGTTTACTATTTACTTTTACTAAGTAAAGCAACACTATAGACTATAACACAGGGGGGCCCTCGCGTATACTGAACAACTCCCTAAAGTGAACATTGAACAAATTAGCTGGAACGGATCTAACTATTTACTAATATTTAGACCTTTGAGAAGGAACAAAGCGTCGGAATCTGGTTTCGAGAGCGAAAAAAGCACGAAAAAAGCGCGTAACGGACCAGAGTTTATTAGACATTCGCTGGTTACAACATTAACTCCATCTAAAGCTAGATCCAGAATGGATCCAGAGACGGAGACAGAAACGGCATCTATCCCATGGAAGCGAGCGATACGATATGGATCGCGAGCTATGCGGAAACACAAACGTCGCACCGTAAATCGCTGACTTTTAATAATATTGAAAGTCTGCACAACAGAAATCAACAAGTGATCGGCACAACTCGATCGTAACACGTAGAGCCCGTTCAACAGTGTGCAACACCGTGCAGCACGTGCTATGCCGCGCCCACTATCAAAACGCAAGCCAATCAGAAGAGACACAACACAGACACGTAATCCTAAGGCGTAGCGCCACAGGCGTAGCGCCACTGACGTGAACGCTAGTGATCCCGGTCTCACATGCCTCTGGGGGGATGCCGAGCTCCTGTGAGGCTGGACACACTCCCGAATCCACGAGAAGACGACGGTCGCCAGTGTCTGTGTGTGCTCAAAAGAAAACATCAAATTCCTTATTCCATTTTATCACATCAATTCCATAAAGGCACAATTCCATTTAATACAATGTAAAATAAAGAGATCCAATTATAAAAATACTATCAAATCATTAGGAACAGATCAACAAAAGTATTAATCAAATGTAGACTAGGATCCTCCATTTCTGACTCGTAAAGGTCACAGGTCCTGTCCACCGTTTTCCGCACTTTGGCCCATTCCGCTCTGTTGAGCAATCCTGCGCATCCATAATGCGACTTCATCACAATCAGCTTGAGAATCGGGTGCGTATCAAGTACGACTTAGGAATACTGCTTCAATCTTTGGAATAAGGTGCGTATCAATTGTACGACTTCAAATGAGATCCATAAAAGGTCATGGAGGGACGTCGTGTAGACAAGCGTAGTTCGCTTCCTCCCTGGTAAAGGTCATCCTTTATTGAGATGATCCGTTGAGCTGTGCGACTCATCTGGGTTAATGGTCCCAAAAGGTCATGCGACTTAGATTCCGATACGGTGACTCTGTTGGGCAATTGATGATCCCAAAGGTCATCCGACTTTTCTTCAAACTTCCATTAAAGGTCATGGAGGGACTTAGCCAATTTTCTGCGGCTTTCAAGCACTTCTTTGCTTGCCTCTCTGGTAAAGACTTGATTTGACCTTTCCGTCGCACATCCAACTTCAACATGCCTCGAGCGGCCAGAGTGCCGGCAAGTCTTGTTCGCCGCTTGTGCCGCTTGTGGCTTACGTTATTACGAAATCCGGCTTGGTTACCGTAGTTTTCTCGTTTTAATTTTGTCACTGAATCGCTTAAAAGAGTGCCGGCATAGTTTACCGTAACAACTCTAATGAGGCCGGCTGGTTGCCGCATTAAGTTAACCTCATCAATATTCCACCTGTTGTCTTTCTCTTTTCGCCGCTTGTGGCCCTTTCGTCTTCAAGAGATCCGGCTTGATTACCGTCGTTTCTCTTGTCAATTTATAACACTGAATCGCTTAAGGAGGAGAGCCGGCTAACTGCCGTAACTACTCCCTTGGGGCCGGCTTTATAGACCGAATCAATTTCAACCCCAATAACACTCCACATGATTTCTTTTAGGCAATTCTGTGCTATAAACGCTGCAAACAACAAATACACAAATACAATTAATGTTAACATGTCACATATCACGCCCTTTATACAACACCATTTTTCATCTTTGTGACGTACCGACAAAATGCCGTAGACGTCCTTTCAATAGTGTGATCCTAACGATCAGCACTATTCCATTTCATTTGAATCGCCCTCGCCATCTCTTGGCGGGCGTTTCTTGGCACTTTCGGGTTGATTACGGTCAGATGTTCGATCAATTGGTTCAGTTGAATCAACTTCCATGACCTTTGACGGGTCAACTTCTCGCTGGCCACGACCTTTTCCTTGACGGCTCCGCTTAACCGCCTCAAGTCGATGGCGTGCGTCATTTTCTTCCAGTCGTAATTTCGGTTATCAGGGTCGCTGGCCAATCGACGTTGCACATCAGCGAGATTATCCCGAAGCTGCTGGTTCCGTATACCGCGTCGTCCCATCTGGTTAGGAGCGCGTTCCGAGCGGTCGCTTTTCTTCACCAGGAATTCATCGATGTACGTTTCAACTCCGTCCACTGGTTCGACGTAGTCACTTCCCAGGAATCTTTGATCTTATTGACCCTTTCTTCAACTTGGGAGGCATGGCGCTGTATCAAGTTGCCCTTTCCATTCGTGTCTTACACTTTTTCAGCGCCTTTCGAGCTGTATGCGCTATGCTGATATGTTCCATCGGTTGTCCCAATTTAGCGACATGAGCTCGGAAGAACGGTGGAATGTCGTCCTTCATAGTATTAGACACCAATTGATTCTGTGTCTTGTAATGTGCCAGTCTCGCGGCAAAGACCTTTTGCCCCATCCTTTTTGCGGCATAGTCCTTAGGATCCACCTGTAGTCCTATCGATGCTCTTGCTGCATGCAACTTGAAGGCTGGATTCACATGTCGTAAAACGTACTGAGCCACATATTCTTGTCGTTCGGGATAATCTGTGTAATAAAATTGTGTCATCCCAATTGGGTCAGTCGTATCCAGCGGCACATCCAATAGACTCAAATCCACTAAACTGTGTAGCCCATTCCGGTGGATAGGGAGATAACAATCTCGCGCAGAGTCGCGAGGGATGTATAGTCGATGGAATTTTCCTTCTTCCACTTCCTGTTTAATCTCTCTCGCATATCCTGAGTCAAGTAAGAATTGGCGCAGCTGATTCAGTATCATACCGATCTTGTTAGCTTCGGCCGAATCCGACTCTATTCCGAAGTATCGACAAATTTCAACTGTTTGCTCGTCAATATCATTCATATTATATTCCATATCGATGATATCCGGTTGTCGGTTATTGAATCTGGAGTTCTGTCGCTGTTCAGCCTGGCGACGATTATCCGGTTCACGAGGACCTTCTGATTCACGTCGATCTCCTGATTCGGGCTGCGACGGTTCGTTACTCGCCGGTGTAGCCGGTTGAAGGTCACTATCCAGAATCACATTTCGTCGATGGGTCACGTTTCTTGAGACGTTTCCGCAATCGAGCTGGTCCTTCCATCAAGTCATCTTCTTGTACGACACTCACAATTGGATCCACTACATGAACCATTGACTCCACCCGCTGATACTTTGGGGGTGAATCTTCCCTTTCCGCGCTCGATGACCTTTTACTCGCGCCAGATTCGAAACTCGCATAATACTTGGTTCGTTCTTGCCATCTCTTATCGTGTGGGTCTGGTGTTCGGTTTCGCGTATGTTCGCGTCTTTTATCCCATGACCTTTCAGGTGTTGACATTCTGACATTGCGGTTACGGAATGCAACTCCCATCGGCACCTAATGCCCTTGCTTTTCAGGTTCCGTACGGAATGTCTCCGCACGCCGTTTTTCTTCTCTTTCCCTTGTCGCTGCCAGAATCTTGGCTGTATCAATCTTCCGCTGGATGGTCATTTCTGTTATTTCATCTCCGTGGCGCACCCATCCTCTTCCGCCGCGGTAATCCCGGTCGCGAGAGCGTTCGCGTAACCTTTCAGTACGGTACTCACGTGTCCTTTCACGAGAGTGTTCACGTGACCTTTCACTCCGTCGTTCCGAAGTCCATTCATGTTCGCGTGAATGTCCGCGTGACCTTTCTCTATGCGGAGGCGATCGAGGTCGAATAAAACCTTCGTCCCGTTTGAAACTTCTGAGCGCCTGCAGCACATCGCTTTCAGTTTGGCGAGATTTTCGTAATTCGTCCATACGTCTTTCCACTTCCTTCTTTATGTATGGTGCCGGCGCGAATCCGTCTTGCAGTCGTTTTTTCTCCCGCAACAGCACTTTTAATAACTCGTCTGGCATAGCGGCTGGATCTTTCGTTAACGTTTCGATTTGAATGATTAGGGACTGACGTGTCAGATGCACTTCTTCTTCATTAAGGCTGGCTGTAGGGGGTACAGCTGAACTCGATGAACTGGGCAGCGCCTCTCGTGCAGCCTGTTCACTTGCTCTCTTATTTTCCGCATTAATTTTCGCGCGGATTTCATCCTCCATTTGCTGAACTCGCATCTTCTCTTGATCTTCTTCAAACTTCTTCCGATATGCGTCTGTTTGTGGACATTTCAACGGCTCCAAGGTGTCATCCCAACCAGGTTCATTGTTCCGGATCGCTTCTCGATAACGATCTTCGAATAGCATTCGCTCTTCTACTGGGATGCTGCCGTAATTTCTTGCGCTTATCAAGTTGCGGAAGACGTCCAGGTTCCCAGGTTTGGCTTCCGAGATCCCAACGAGTGAAACAATATGTGGGTCCTCCAGTTTGTGAATGCATGTATAGCACGGGAATTTCTTATCAACCTTTTTGTTATTCCGTAAACAGTTCGGACACTTTGGGTTATAGCCCGTAGACCGATCGATATCTGCCGTCGTTCCTGGACGTTTAGAAGTGGCTTGACCTTTCTGTGCCATCTTTTCGCTTCAACCTGCAATTATAAAACAATCCGTCATAGTAACCTTTTCCACGTCAATCTTTTCCATTCCTATCCATATCATGGCTTTTCTATCATTTTTACGCCTATTCCGCTACTGAGCTGAGACTTTCCTAGCTCCTGCTGCCCCTTTCTATCACTGTAACGTGGTGACCTTTCTCACGTTATCAGCACTTTCTGACTACTGTGACCTTTTCTATTAGTCTTATCACTGTTCAAATTAAACTCTTCACGTTCCATTCCCGTAACACTTTCTCTTTCGTTTTTGTACTGTTTTATGCTTTTTCTGTAATATGCAGGGTTCATTACTCGCTGCATATTACACTCGTCCCGTTTACTCGGATTCCTTCGCCGGTGGTTTGTACGGCTTGAAGTCGATTCGACCATCTGGATTAATATGAAGCACTTCGTCTGCGATCAAGGCTTCGACGGCGTTCTTAATCCACTCTTTATCACTTTCAATATTCAACTCTCCCAATTCATAATTGACGGCCATGAAGTTCGAAAGGTCATTCCATGACGCTCCATTGGTACCGCCAATGGCGTCCAAAGCCACGTCTGTGATGGCTATCTTCCAGGCCTCCAGTTCCATTTTCAGTCTGGGCGTTCGTTCCTGACCCTGGTTCGGAAGGTAGTAGACGACTTTTATGTCCTTGTTGTATTTACATCCCAACTTTCCTTCCTTATATGCTCGTTTCAGGGCTCGTTCAGTCATGTTGAGTGACGACCTTCCGTTCGTATTTATTGCCACTTGTCTTTTCAAGTCTGTACCGAGCATTTCTTTTTCTCGAATGATCTGGAGCGCAGCCTGGACTTCGTTCCATGTACGATTGTTCACGTCCAATGCTGGTCCTAGCGTGTAATCTGTAGCCTCCTTTCTTGGCGTACCGCTACTCTTCTGTGAGGATGCCGAATCCGTTGGGTCAGTTGTCGCTGTTTCGTCAATCCTCAGCTTTGCCAATGATCCTGATGATGACCCCGCCGATTTCGGTTCTGCTGTCTTCTTTTCCTCTTGTGGCAAAGTCTCATGACCTCCCACTTCACCTGCTGACTTCGATCGCTTTTTCTCGAAGACTTCCTTTAGTGGTATGAACAATGATTTCTGAAACACCTGGCGCGCAGAGGCCGCTTCTGCTTCTGCCGCTGCTTTGTCCATCGGGAGCATGACCTTTTCTTTCTCCCGCTTTTCTCCCGAAGTCTCGTGACCTTTCGGTTGAACTTCTGCGGCGGTTCCAGATGTTTTCTGACCTTTTGACTGTTCGTCTTTTTCTGTCACAGTTCCAGAAGGAGCCGTTACTGTAGTATCGTCATCGCTTCCCGATTCCGAGTCCATTGGTCCTTTTTTCCTCGACACTTTCGGGACTTGTGATTTCAGCCTCGCCGCTTCTTCTTCAGCCGTTTTCCGTGCAATCTGATCCAATATCGGAGTTGACGGGTCTCCGCTCAATGGAACTGTGACCTTTTCCGTGTCCTGACTGTCAGACATATGACAGTGGATCTGTCTTTCCGGTGGTATCAAACCAACTCTCGTGTATCGGATTGGATATCCTTTATTTGCGTTTGTTGTAGCAAGGACATTCTGTTTAATCAGTCTCGGCAGTACACGCTCAGTTGCCGTATCGATTTCTTTTATCATTCCGATTCCATCGTTCCGAACTGCGTTGATGTATTGGCTGATCCGGTGACTCGTTGACCCTAACGGGCTTGTCATCCCTGCGATTGCCCTTTCTACTCGCATTGGGACGGCTTCGTTCGGCGTTGTCAGCGCTTTATCCGAACTAGCTGGTCTGAACAACTTGGCCTCATACGAAAAACTCCGGTGCTTCTGTATAAGTTTTCCTGCGTTCCGCGCGAATTCCAATACGACGTCGAACTTTCGTTTAGTGAAGCTACGACGTTGTTTCTTCAAATATGTCTTCAGGCCCGCTTTGAATTTGGATGTCACCGATGCTGTTCTTATTCGTGTGAAATTTTTCTCAGCTCCGTTATACGCGTTGATGATTTCATCGACCGTGGTCAAATTATCATCATCTGGACCATCAAATTCTTCATCCGAGGTGAAGTCCAGTTCGCTCTCTCCATCTGGTTCAGTATAATTAACCAGCGCCAATGCATCGATTTTCGTAACTGTCTTGCCCTTTCCTTTGGTTTTAACGGGTTCGCTCTTTGCTTTTTTCCCTTTATCCAAAGCCTCCGCTAGACTTCTTGGTTCAGTAGTCCTTGATCGTGTCGTTTTCGAATCCGTATGTGACCTCGCACTAACCGTCGAAGTGCTTGGAAGGCTCACTTCCGATGCCTCCGATTCACGCGAAGTCTACCGTTTCGCTTTTTCGCGGATCTGTTTGTCCTTACGCTCTTTTGGCGTGAATGCAGAGATGACGATGGGGACAACTTGTTTCACTGCTATGACCTTTCCTTTGGGTTTTGACGGCTCTGCTGTAGCCGATTGGATAACTTTCTTTGAATTCGTAGGTGTCGATGACCTTTCTTCAACTTCGCCGACTGACTCGTCCAATATCTCAACATCATGAGACGCTGGTTCATCTCTTTTCTTTGATCCTTCCCTTTTCTTCATTCCGGTGCTTGTGCTATCGCTTTCATCACCGCTCTTTTTCTTCTTATCTTCTTCCTCCTGTCGTTTCTTCTTCTCTTCTTCTTCCCTTCGTTTTTTGAGGAAATCGCCTTTCTTAACCTTCTCGCGGTTCATAGCTTCTTCCAGTTTTGGCGCTTTCCTCGGTCTTGACTGCTTTTGAGGGCTTTTTGTGTTTCTCCGCCATTTCCTCATCTGAGTCTTCTTCTTCAGCTGAGTCCTCATCTTCCGACTCTGGTTCAACATCACCAGGTGGATTAAATGGGCGCAGTTTGGTTCGTCACACTGAAGGTGATCATGGCTTCCTTGGGCAATCTCGAGTACTCTTTGTAGCGAACGTCTGGCCCCTCCGGTTTCAGTTACGTTTGCCGATGTGCCCTGCGCCTCTTCCGTCTCTCCGGCTCCGCCTTCTTGTGCCGGGGGCTGAATTTCCAAGTGCGCTGTCTCTTTCAGCTGTCCCTGTGAGACGACCTCCCACAAAGGGTTTTTCTTGGCGTCATAAAACACCGTTTTGTACGATCCATCTTCCATTCGTCTTGTGAGTCGGAAATGCGCTTCGTCGATCTCCGCTCGATGCCTCATCATGCTGATCAATGTACTCGCTTGAACTACGGCATCTGTTCGGTCACTTTCAGGTATCAGATCCCATAGCTGCTCAATGGCTGCCTGATTCGCGGTTCGGGCGCTTTCCTCTGATACATCCCATGGAGCATATGGAATCGGGTCTCCTGTTATCGGATCAACTATCACTGCAGTTATGGTTTCCTGAGCTTCTCCGTTACCAGCAAAAAGTCTGAGGGTGACCTTTCTACTTGTCGCCTCTGTATATCTCAGGACCGACTCATAATCATCTGACGATCGTTTCTTCGGATCTGGATCCGCCGTCGGTTTTGAGCGAGTTCTCTCTTTGGTCAACAATTTGCCGTCCGTTGTGTATGTATATGCCAAGTGGTCGTCATTTGTGCCCACTTTGATACGGATCCATGCATCTTCTTCAGTCGCAACTTTAGATACCACGTGTTTCAGCATCTGAATGAGAACCCTTGGATTATGACGTTCTTCTGGGGGAATAAACTGTAGCGCCTCGTTGACTACCGTTTTTGACTCTTCCCCAATGGCATCCTTGACTGACCTATCCGCGAGGGGATTATACGAGTCGATCTCTTTGTTCGTTTTCTTATCGACTATTCGTGCCGTAACCTTTCGTTCTTTATGGTCTTCCCCAGTGTATTTGGCCGTAAAACTTCTGCACTTCGGGAATCGGATCTGACCTTCTGTTCCGGACGGCGTGGGTGGTACACTCTTTCTACCCACTGGGACTGGTCCTTGTGGCTTAACCGGCGGTGCTTTAGTCGTCGTGACCTTTTTGGTACGCTGCTCCTTTTTGTCAGTTTCTTTTGGGCTTGTCGTCGGTGGTCGTACTCTTTTTCCACTTTTCGCTGTCCCGCTAGACGGTTCCGTAACCGAACTGGTCCGTCCTCGTGTTGATCCTGCAGTCGAGCTGGCCCGTGACCTTTCTGCTCGTTCAGTTAATTCGGCATCAATCTTTCTCTTTGTTGCCAACAGGTCCTCGTCCGTCATTTCATCGACCGGGGCGTCCTTTTCAGCTATTGGTTTGGATGGTCCCGCGACGCTGGTAGTCGGCGTCTGTCTTGTTTCTGGGAACACCTTGAGATATCTAAGGATCTTTTCGACAGTCTCCGGCCACCTTCTACCTTTTATTGTCGGATGATATTGCCACATCGATGCAACTTGGATTGCGTATTCCTTGCGCTTTGCTTCAACCTGTTTCGTCTTATCTTTCATGGCAATGTGGCATGGTTTGATAACAGCTTCCAAGCTGATTAACTTTCCATACCATGCGTGTTCGTCTTCAACTCGCATGTGGATTCTGTAAAGGTCACGGCATTTCCGATTGAAGTCGCGGATGGCTTCTAAGTCGGCTTCCGTCAGTTTTTCCTTTTATCCACTATTAAATTCAGGTTCGGGTCATCATCTCTCAAGTCCAAAGGAAGCTTCGGTGCGTATTCATGTATTGAGGGTTCGCCTGTGGGCGTAAGCCGTAAACCATCTGGTCCAGTCTGATCCAAATTGGGACCCAGTGACGGTAAAATGCCTCTCGGTCGCCTTCCTCCTCTGTGTGGCGAATTACGATGAGGGCGCTGCGCTCCAAGTTGCTGCGGTGTTCTCATGCGAGGCGCTCCGATGTCCGACAGTGACAAGCCTCCCGTCTCCGGAAAAGGTGGTAATATCGGGGATGACCTTTGTGATCGCGCTGGAGTTACCATCATTCCGCCGAATCCTCCCTGTCCCGTAAATCGGCTCGGTGTAGTCTGTTGCGGTGGCGGCATCAACATTCTTGCCGGTCCCATTATCACCTGTGAGGGTCCCGACGGTGGAGTAT